GGCTCTGTCTGTGTGTCCCCCACACCCCCAGGCTCTGTCCCTGTGTCCCCACACCCCCAGGCTCTGTCTGTGTGTCCCCCACACCCCCAGGCTCTGTCCCTGTGTCCCCACACCCCCAGGCTCTGTCCGTGTGTCCCCCACACCCCCAGGCTCTGTCCATGTGTCCCCCACACTCCCAGGCTCTGTCCATGTGTCCCCACACCCCCAGGGTCTGTCTGTGTGTCCCCCACACCCCCAGGCTCTGTCCCTGTGTCCCCACACCCCCAGGGTCTGTCTGTGTGTCCCCCACACCCCCAGGCTCTGTCCCTGTGTCCCCACACCCCCAGGGTCTGTCCCCTGCTCAGCCTCCCCCCTCCCTCCCGGCACATCCCACAGGCAGCCTCGGCTGCTCCTGGATCCACTTCCATGGCTTTTTTGGGATGAGGGGTGTGGTGGGACCTGCTGCTGCTGCAGGAGGACAGAGGGGGCACCATGGGATACTCCGGGGATCCATGGACTGGCTGCTGATTGGTTGGGATTTACACACCAGGGAGTTGGTTGGCTGGGATCTGTGCACCTGTGTGTTGATTGGCTGGCATCTATAGATGTGTGTGTTGATTGGCTGTGATCACCTGTTTGCTGATTGGCTGGGATCTCTGTGCCTGGGAGGTGATTGGCTGGGATCTATACAACTGGCTGCTGATTGGCTGAGCTCTCTGGATGTGCGTGTTGATTGGTTGGGATCTCTGCCTGCTGATTGGCTGGGCTCCATGTACCCCGCTGCTGACTGGCTGGCTGCCATGTACTCGACTGTTCATTGGCTGAACTGTTGGGACCTGCCCACAGGTATGTGCTGATTGGCTGGGCTGCAACTATGCTGATTGGCTGGGGGGTCTGTGAGTGCTGACTGGGCAGGCCATCCATGAGCCCTGATTGGCCCGGTGGTTCCCAAGCACTGATTGGCTGGGCAGTCCATGGTGGGCGGGGCTGGCTGTGGTGGGCGGGGCTGCCCATGATTGACAAGCAGGTCAGTCCGTGCTCAGGACACAAGGGCAGGGTTTTGGGGGGCTCGGAGGGGGAAGCCCCCTCAGCCCCTCCCCAGCTGTGAGGGCAGACCTGGTTCTCTCCTCCCCGTGCCTGGAGCCCCCCCGGCACCCACAGGGGAGTCCCCTCTCCCCTTGGCACAGAGGGTACCGGGGGACCCTCCTGGCAGCCCAGAACCCCCCCCTCCCCGTCCCAATAAGTATCTGACCCCCGGGGGTGGTCACCCCCCAGGGTCCCTGCCCTGGCATCCCACCCATGGCACGGGGGTGTCTGTGCCCCCCCGGGGGTCCCCCCTCTCTCCTTCACAGGGGGCAGGACCCTGCTCTGCCCTGGGTGGTCCCTGCTCCCTTCCCAGGGCTCCCACTCCCTATTCCTGGGGGTCCCACTCTCTTCTCGGGGGTCCTGCTCTCTGCCCAGGGGGTTCATGCTCCCTTTGAAGGGCTCCCCACCCCCTTTCCATGGGGCCCTCACTCTGTCCTCGGGGGTCTCCCCTCCCTTTCTGAGGGTCCCACTCTCTGCCCGGGAGGGTCCATGCTCCCTTCAGGGACCGCCCAATTCCCACGGGGTCCTCACACTGTCCTTGGAGGTCCCTGCTCCCTTCCCAGGACTCCCATTCTCTCTTCCTGGGAGTCCTGCTCCCTGCCAGGGGGATGTGTGCTCCCTTCAGGAGCATCCCCCTGCTCCTCGGGGGTCTCAGTCTCTATTCCGGAGGGTCCCCCTGTGCCCAGGGGATCCGTGCTCTCTTCGGGAGCTCTCCACTTCCTTCCCGGGGCTCCCAATCTTCATTCCCAGGGGTCCTGCTCCCTGCCTGGGGGATTCATGCTCCCATCAGGAGCATCCCATGCCCTTCACGGGGCTCCCATCCTTTATTCCCTGGGGTCTTGCAGGAAGCGAGCAGGAAGCTTGGGGGATTCATGCTCCCTTCAGGAGCATTCCCCTCCCTTCCCGGGGGTCCCACTCTCTGTTCCCAGGGTCCTGCTGTGCCCCGGGGCTCCCAATTCTCTTGCCGGGGGGTCCCCACTCACAGCCCGTGCAATCCCCTCTCCCGCCGCATCCCCTCGCTCCCCCCGGGCGTGGCCGCGGGGTGTCCCCGCACCCCCGGGGCTGCGGCGGCGGCGCGGGGCGGTGCCGGTGGCGGTGCCGGTGCCCTCCCCCGCTGCCGGTGGCGGGGGCGGAGCGGCCTCCCCGAGCCCTATAAAGCGGGGCGTCCGCGGCGGTGCCGCAGCGAGGGCGGGGGGGTCACCATGAGCCTGATGCTGGAGACGCTGTTGGGCCCCCCGGGGGGGCTCCGCAAGGAGCCGGGCCGCGTTCCCCGGGGCTCCGCCACCTCCAGCGGCTTCCACTCGTGGCCGGCGCCGGTGCCGGGGCGGGCGCGGGGCGCGGGGGGCGGCGGCGGCAGCGCGGCCGCGTCCTCCACCGAGAGCCTGGACTCGCTGAACGGCGAACCGCGGGCGCGCAACGAGAAGGAGCTGCTGCAGGTGCTGAACGACCGCTTCGCCGGCTACATCGAGCGGGTGCGGGCGCTGGAGCAGCAGAACCGGGCGCTGGCGGCCGAGGCGGCGGCGCTGCGGCAGCAGCAGGCGGGGCGCTCGGCCATGGGCGAGCTGTACGCGCGGGAGCTGCGGGACATGCGGGGCACCGTCCTGCGCCTGGGAGCCGAGAAGGGGCAGCTGCGGCTGGAGCGGGCCCGCCTGGCCGAGGACGTGGCGGCGCTGCGGGGGCGGCTGGAGGACGAGGCGCGGCAGCGCGGGGAGCTGGAGGCGGCGGCGCGGGGGCTGGCGCAGCGCTCGGCGCAGGAGGAGCGGGCGCGGGCGCCGCTGGAGGAGCGGGCGCGGGCGCTGCGGGAGGAGGCGGAGATGCTGCGGAGGCAGCACCGCGCCGAGGTGGGAGCGCTGCTGCGGGGGGCGCGCCCGGAGCCCCCCGCCGAGCCCCCCGCAGCGCTGCGCCCCGGGGTGACGGCCGCGCTGCGGGACCTGCGCGCTCAGCTGGAGGGCACGGCCGCCCGCAGCACCCTGCAGGCAGAGGAGTGGTTCCGCGGTGAGTGCGCGGGGAGGGACCCCGAGCCCCCCCGGGGACGCCCCTCCCCGGGAGGGGGTCAGAGGAAGGGCGTGCCCGGGGGTGCGGGGACCACCCCTCTCATCCCCGTGTGCTGCGCTCCGGGAGGGGGTGAGGGGGACCATGCAGGGACCCTCCCATTTAAACTGCGCTCCAGGAGGGTTTTAGGGTGTCCCCACGTCGGGGGAGGGAAAAGGGACCCCCCCATTTAAACTGTGCCTTGGGAGGGCGTTAGGGGACCCCCACTCCAGGGGAGTGCAGAGACCCCCCCATATATACTCTATTCTAGGAGGGTGTTGGGGGACTCCCCTCCAGGGAGATGCAGAGACCCCCTCCTTTTATCCTGTGCTCCGGGAGGGCGTTAAGGTGCCCCCACCCGTATGGCGGGGCAGGGACCCCCCCAACTAAACTGTGCTTTGGGAGAGCATTAGGGGACCCCCACTCCGGGGGGAGGGCAGAAATCCCCCCTATATCCAGTGCTCCGGGGGGGCGTTAGGGTACCCCCGCCCCTGCCCCCAGCCCCCTGTGCCTGTGGGTGCTGTGCCCCCCACTCCCGCCCCCCAGTCCCTTTCCAGGAGGGTGCCAGGATCACGGCACCCCGTAAGTTTTTGGGGTGCCCCCCCGACGCTGCAGGGTGTCCTGCTGGTCCCTGTCGGCTGGGGCGAGGCCGGGGGGGGTTGCAGTGCGGGACGGAGGGGGGGGGTGGTACCGCATCCGTAATGCGGGGGGGGGGAAGGGCAGGGAGTGGCCCTTCCGAGGGGAGCTCAGCACCCCGAGCCTCAGCACCCCCGAGCCTCAGCGCCCAGGGGCGCGGGGCGGGTCCAGCACCGCGGACAGCGGCGGTTCAGCACCGCGGGCAGCGGCAGCGCGGACCGGGGGGAGCGGGTCCCGCGGGGCGGGGGCTGCCCCGGGAGCCGCAGGATCTGCGTCCCACCCTTCCTGTCCCCTTTTCCTGTCTCCCCCCTCCCCATCCCTCGGGGTGTCCGCAGGGCGCTGCGGCAAACCATCCCCCCTCCTCCGGGGTGCGGTGATGCGGTGGGTCGGGGGGGCTGTGGCACAGCCCGGGGGGGGTCTGCGGCGAGGGTCTGCGCTGGGTGACGCCCAGGATGGCGAAAACACCCACCCAGCCGGTCGTGCCCGTCCTCCTCCACCCCCCCGCGCGAGGGAGGTGCCCTCCTTCGGGAGGGTCCTCCTTCACCTCCCAGGGCCAGGGCTGGGAAGGCAGCGAGCCCGGGGAGCCTGGGCCGGCTCTGCAGAGGACACCACGCGGGGATGTGTGGAACGGGGAGGACCTGAGGTTCCCCGAGAACTGCAGCCTCCTTCCCTGCCCCCCTCCATGCCCCCTTTCCCGTCGCAGTGAGGCTGGACAAGCTGTCCGAGGTGGCCAAGGTGAACACGGACGCCATGAGAGTGGCCCAGGAGGAGATCACCGAGTACCGCCGGCAGCTCCAGGCCAAGACCACCGAGCTGGAGGCCCTCAAAGGGACCCAGGAGTCACTGGAGAGGCAGAGGCAGGACTCGGAGGAGCGGCATCACGCAGATGTCCTGTCCTACCAGGTGAGCTGGCACAGGGAGGGACCCTCTGGCTGCAAGGGCGGAGCAGAGCTGGTGTTCTGGCTTCAGAGATGGCCAGGAGCTCTGGCAAATGCTCAGGGCTGTGTCTGGGCCTTCCCCAGCCCCCAGGGATCAGGTTCCCAGAGCCTGAGGGGGTGTCCAGGCTGTCGTGTCCCTCATGCACACGGTGTTGGTCACAAATGCCATGGAATTGTGTCCAAGGTTCAGGCCATGTCCCATGTCCCAGCCCTGGGAAGCGAGGGCTGCGCTGGGTGGTGGCCTTGCACTGGAACACTGTCCCCAGCGTGATGCCCCATCCCCATCTGCCTCAGGTTGGGATTTTGTGGTCACTGGACTTGCCCAAGTGGTAGAAACATTCCCACAGCTCATCCTTGCTGGAGGGACTGCTGGGAGGAGGCTGGGGTCCCCCTGCCAGGTCCCCCAAGGGAACTGGACACCTGGAACAGCCCCTGGACGTGTCCCCTTCTCTGTGTGTCTGCGGGAGGAGGTGGCTGCAGACCCCTCTGTGAGGGCTCCTTGGTGCTGGAGACCAGGGGACAGTTTGGGGGTGCTCTGTGTCCCCCTGCTCCCAGGGACTGTCCCCACACAGCCCATCTCACACCCCCACTGCTCTGTCTGCCCCCAGGAAACCATCCAGCAGCTGGACAGCGAGCTGAGGAACACCAAGTGGGAGATGGCAGCTCAGCTCCGGGAATACCAGGATCTGCTCAATGTCAAAATGGCCCTGGACATCGAGATCGCTGCCTACAGGTACAGGGGGGCAGGGTGAGGGGGGGGCTCAGCCAGGGCTGCTCAAGGTCCCCCCCTTCACCCCTGGGCTCTTCTTGGTGAGGAGGAGACCATCCATCCCCTCAGACCAACATCCAGCTGCGTGATCCAGCCCTGGAGTGTGGAGGGAAGGGTGAGGGAACCTGCCCAGCCCAGGGTGTAGGAGCATGAGAGTGATCCAGGACAGGGCAAGGAGGGAAATGGGGCTGCAGGACAGGGCTGGCAGCTCCTGGTCACGGGAGGGGATGAGAAGCCATCACTGACTGCCCTACTCTGGTCTCTTCCTGGCAGAAAGCTCTTGGAAGGGGAGGAATATCGGCTCGAGACTGGCATTGGGATGCTCTCCTACCCCGAGGTGGTCCCCAAGGCTCCCAGCATCACCACCAACATCAAGGTGAAGAGCGAGGAGAAGATCAAGGTGGTGGAAAAATCGGAGAAGGAGACGGTGATTGTGGAGGAGCAGACGGAGGAAATCCAGGTGACCGAGGAGGTCACGGAGGAGGAGGAGGCTGAGAAAGAGGCTGAAGAGGAGAAAGCTGAAGAGGAGGAAGAAGAAGAGGAGAAAGCTGAAGAGGGTGAAGAAGAGGCCAAGTCTCCTGCAAAAGAGGAGGCCAAGTCCCCAGAGAAACCTGAGTCCCCCTCCAAGGAGGAGGCCAAGTCCCCTGAAAAGCCCCCAACCCCCTCTAAGGAGGGGGCCAAGAGCCCAGTTGTGAAGTCACCAGAGAAACCTGCAACCCCCTCCAAGGAGGAGGCCAAGAGCCCAGCTGTGAAGTCACCAGAGAAACCCCCAACCCCCTCCAAGGAGGAGGCCAAGAGCCCTGCTGTCAAATCCCCTGAAAAGCCACCAACCCCCTCCAAGGAGGAGGCCAAGACCCCCACGGTGAAGTCCCCAGAGAAACCTGCACCCCCCTCAAAAGAGGGGGCCAAGACCCCAGCGGTGAAGTCCCCAGAGAAAACTGCACCCCCCTCAAAGGACGAGGCCAAGACCCCTGAGAAACCCTCAGCCCCCCCTAAGGAGGAGGCCAAGAGCCCGGCGGTGAAGTCCCCAGAGACACCCACAGCTCCCTCAAAGGACGAAGCCAAACCCCCCTCTGTGAAGTCCCCAGAAAAAGCCCCAACCCCCTCAAAGGAGGAGGCCAAGAGCCCAGCTGTGAAGTCACCAGAGAAGGTCAAATCTCCCGGGAAGGAGGAGGCCAAGTCTCCACGGAAGGAGGAGGCCCCAGCCAAGGAGCCAACCCCTGCTCCGAAGGAGCCGAAAGCCCCCGCCAAGGAGGAGCAGCCCAAGGAGCAGCCCAAGGCTCCCTCCAAGGAGGAGGGAAAGAAGGAGGAAGCTCCCAAGAAGGATGTCCCGGCCAAGGCAGAGGAGAAACCCAAAGAGAAGGTGACTGAGCCTCCAGCCCCACAGGTGAAAGAGACTCCCAAGCCAGGCCCCAAACCCGCTGAAGAAGGAAAAGCTGAGAAGGAAACTCCACCAAAACCTCAGCAGGAGGTCGGCAAAGCGGCCGCCAAGGAGGCTGAGAAGCCAAAGGCTGAGGAGAAGGTGGAGGAGCCGAAGAAGAAAGTGGAGGAGCCAAAGGAGAAGGTGGAGGAGCCCAAGAAAGTGGAGGAACCGAAGAAGGAGAAGGTGGAGGAGCCCAAGAAGAAGGTGGAGGAGCCCAAAAAGGTGGAGGAACCGAAGAAGGAGAAGGTGGAGGAGCCCAAGAAGAAGGTGGAGGAGCCCAAAAAGGTGGAGGAACCCAAGAAAAAGGTGGAAGAACCCAAGAAGGAGAAGGTGGAGGAGCCCAAGAAGGCGGAAGAGCCCAGGAAGGAGAAGGCAGAGGAACCCAAGAAAGCGGAGGAACCCAAAGCCCAAGCAAAACCCAAAGATGAGCCCAAAGCCAGCAAGGACCCCCCCAAGGCCGAGGCCCCCTCTGGCAAGGAGGGCACGGCCCCGGAGCCATCCCCCAGCGCAGGGAAGAAGTGAGAGGAGAGTCCTGGGTGCCAACGGGCACTGCGGGCACGGGGGCTGCTCTGCCCCTCCCCGAGGGCCGGGCCCGGGGTGGGACCCCCAGGCTGGGCTTCCCCTTAGCAATAGGCCCTGTGAGAGCCGCAGGGTGGGCGACGCTTCCCTCGCAGAACGTGATCCCCACATTTAACACTTGAATTATAACCCAGGAGAAGGGGGGAGACCCCCCGGGACACCCCCAGGGACACCCCTTCTCCTCTAAGTGCATTTATTCAATGTATGTGCAACGGATGGACGAGTGCAATGCAGAGCTGTAGCTGCTTGGGGGGGGCTGGCGGGGTCTGGGGGGAAGGACTGTCCCCTGGAGCAGCGGTGGGAGAGGCTGGGAGCTGCAGGAATGCTCCCAGGCACAGGCTGGGAGCTGCAGGAATTGCTCACAGACACACACAGGTGCACCAGGAACCTCAGCCCACTGATCTTTGCTTACTGTGCAATAACCAAATAAAAGTGCTTACGGAGACATCCCGGCTCTGCGGGTCTGTCCTGGGGGAGGGAGGGAAAGGAGCAGGAATGGGGGTGGGATCTGTCTTTCCAGAGGGAAAACACACCCCCAGTGCAGGCACGAAGGACCTCCCATGTCCTGGGGATGGAAACAGGGCCAGCCCCCCCATGCTTTCCAAAGGATTTCAGTGTGCTTTGTCCCTTCTCTTTTTAAAGCCTGGCTCCCAAGGGGCCGGGAAAGCCTGGATTAACCCCAAGGCTGCAGCACTGCACCGAGGGCAGGGGCTGGGGGGCAGCAGCAGAGGGGCTGTCAGCCCTCCTGGGGGACACATTTCTCCGTGGAGAGGGGGGCAGGAGCCCTCGGGAGCGGGGCTGGAGCCCCAGCTGTGCCAGCCTGGATGTGGGACAGGACCCACCCGGGGCGAGGAGGGGGAACAGCCCAACTCCTGGTGCCAACCAGGGTGAGCTGAGGGGCTGGGATGGCCCAACCCTCCTCCTGCCTCTCCCAGGAGCCTGCCCCGCTCCCGTCCAAGCCCCCCCAGCTGCAGGGATGGGCCAGGTGGGCTGGAGCCAGCGCTGCCAAGGACAGGCTGGGGCTGCAGTGCGGGCTCCGCACAAGGGCTATTTTTAGCCATCTCAGCTCCAGCCACCTCAGCTCCCCGAGTTGGGGAGGGAGGGCAGGAGACAGGCAGCATCCCAGGAAAAGCTGTCAGAGCCCGGGGATGGGACACAGGCCTTGCTGGAGCCCCCCCCGGCCTCCCCTGCCAGCCCTCCACACACACGGGACACACACACGCTTCTCTTTTGCTTCAGTTTAATCCCTTTGGCTACAAAACCAACCCCAAAACCTTGGAAAAGGAGCTAAAATGGCGGGATGGGGACACTCCTCCTGTAGAGGGGACGAGGCCCATCCCAGAGAGATGCCCAGGGGGGGCTCAGCGATGGCTGAAGAACCCCTGGGGGTAGTTGAACTTGAAGGGCTTCAGGCGCAGGGGACCCCTGGAAGGGGAGAAGAGGGATCAGGAACCCCCTGGCACCCGCTCCCGGGGCAGACCCACACAGGACAGGCTGCAGGGCTGGCACCAGGGGACAGCAGTGCCACCAAGGTCCCTCCAGCACCGTCCCCCGGGGCTCTCACCTGACCAGGCGCAGACACATCTTCTCCTGGGGGAATTCCTTGGGCCCCTCCACGCTGGGATCGTGGGGCTCCGTCTCCAGGTACACGTCCAGCACCATGCACAGGCGCTGCAGCTGGTTGGTGAGCAGCTGGTAGCCCGGTTTGGGCCCCCACAGCTCCTTGTAGTGCACGTTGACCTCGCTCTCCATGGCCTGGGAAACAGGGATGAGGTTGGCGCAGGCCTGGATCTCTGCTCCGCACTCCCAGACCCTGCTGCTGCACCCCAGTGCCCACCCAGCAGCTCAGCCCAACACCTCCCCTGTTCTGGGCACAGAACTGCTGGGGACACCCCAAAACAGGGCCCCTCTGCCCCCCCTTACCCGAATGTTGTCGTCGTTGCTGCTGTTCCGCTCCCCCTTCCAGTTCAGGCACAGGCTGAAGACGGGCGGGAGGGTGGAATAGCCGGGGTTCAGGACCACGGCGGCCTGGAGCTTGGCTGAGCAGGGAACAGGGGTCACCCCCAGGGAGGGGAAGGGGGAGGAACCCAAGGAGAAGGAGGAGGAACCCAAGGAGAAGGAGGAGGAACCCAAGGAGAAGGAGGAGGAGCCCAAAAAGGTGAAGGAACCCAAGGAGAAGGTGAAGGAACCCAAGGAAAAGGTGAAGGAACCCAAGGAAAAGGTGAAGGAAACCAAGAGGAAGAAGGTGGGGGAGCCCAA